AGAATCCCAGGGGGCTGGCCTGACAGGTAGGCTGAGCCGACACTGGGCCATTAGGTGTGAGTTGAAGGAAGAGGCAAGTCTCCCAACCACGCAACCTATCACAGCTCCCCAGCTGGCTCCTGAAACTCCCATATAAATACAGAAAGGTCATAATTTCCAAACAAGAAATTAGGGCTCATATCTGATAGGTTATCATCAGAAAAACAGGACAGAGCTATTTGGCCAAATCTGGGATGGTCACTCAGAGATTTCATCTTTTATTCCAGCTGAGATCAAAGACAGAGGCTGCCAGCTTAGAACACTACTGAGAATAATTCTGGGGCCACATCTGGGTTTAGTAGGGGAAGAATGCAGGAGTATATTAGGAAGGCCTGAGATAGTCATGCATGAACTAGTGAAAGCATCGCAATATTGGCTTCACATGCAAATGGCTTCTTAGAGGGCTAACAGTGAAATGTCATTAGCTGTTAACTTCCTGGCACAAATTAAATTATTACATTAGCCACCCATCACAAGGCTCTAAGTGAATGGGTCACAGCATAGGTGAATTTGTTTCTATGGCTTATTCTTCCCTTTTAGAATTGAGTTAAAATTCACATAACATAAAATTCACCATTTAAACCATTTAAAATTATATAATTCAGTGGCTTTTAACATATTCAGAAGACTGTGCAACCATCACCATTATCTAATTCCAGAATCATTTCATCGCTCCAGAAAGAAATCATTTCATCACTCCAGAAAGAAACCCCTTAAACAGTTACTCCCAATTCTCCCCTCCCCTCAGCCCTTGGTAACTGCTGATTTGCTCTCTGTCTATGGATTTGCCTACTCTGGACATTGGCTATAAATTGAAACATAAAATATGCGGCTTCTGGTGTGGTGGCTCACGCCTGTAATCCCAGCACTTTGGGAGCACGAGGCGGGTGGACCATGAGGTCAGGAGATTGAGACCATCCTGGCCAATGTGGTGAAACCCCGTCTCTACTAAAAATACAAAAATGAGCTGGGTGTGGTGGCGCATGCCTGTAATCCCAGCTACTCAGGAGGTTGAGACATGAGAATCGCTTGAACCCGGGAGGCGGAAGTTGCAGTGAGCCGAGATCGTGCCAGTGCACTCAAGCCTGGCAACAGAGAGTGACTCCATCTCAAAAAAAAAAAAAAAAGAAAGTGGGAAAGAGTGTGGCAGCAGCACATCTTGGGTCCGCTGTGGAATCCTAAGGGCAAAGGGTCTCTAGACTTCTTGGTGAGGAGAGAGAGAGAAGATGGGGCCACAATAGGATAGTAATGACCTTGAGCTTAACTGATAGAAGAAGAATGGGTTTGTGCAGAATTTATACAATGGCTGCTAATATTTCTTCTTTTTTTTTTTTTTAATAAAGAAGAGAAAAATCTATGGCGGAGATGAAAAGATGGGTTATAGGAGAGCCAAAGTAAAGTGAAAATTGTTCTGGTTTTGGCCGTGTCTTACCAGTATGCTGTTAATAGATGCTGTTTTAGCAGAAAGAAGAAAAGCTTGTTTAGCTGCATGTAATGCAAGATGACAAAATTGGTAGAGGAAATTTTAGCACAACAAATTGAAGAAAGAGATTCACTTATTACAAGAATACTGCTGTGCATTTCCATAGTGATGGACTTCTAAAGCATATTCTTGTCTATAAGCTCATTAGGATAAATGAATCAGACAGAGCAGGTACTATTTTCTGTCATTTGAGAAATAAGAAAATCAAGGCACCCAGCATAGCTCCTGGTGATTAGTAGGTATTCAATCAGTATTTGCTAAATAAATGAAGCAGAGTCACATTGTCAAAGAATATCAGCGCTTAGAGGGCCTTTGAGATCATCCAGAAGCCCTTCTCCCACCTCATTTTTGGAGGAGGAATTGATATTCCTCTGATGAGCAGACTGGGGAAATTTGGGGCTTAAATCCTAGGTCAATTGGTCAGGGAGTGAAGGACCCAAGTCAGTAGTGTGTCCTTTGTCTCAGCACAGTATCGGCATGTCAATTACATGGCTTTGTGATGATGTGTGCCTTTTCCTATCTCTACCACTGAGCCATATGCTTCTGGGGGGGGGGGGNGCTTGCGTCTGATTCATCTTTGAATACCCAGGATGTCATAGCACAGTTGATGAAACTTATTGGATGGATTAACAGGAATGGAAGCTCTGTGTTCTTACTGGGTCTCTGCTCCTTCTTCTCATTTTGCCATAGCTTTTAGTGGCAGATACAAAACTCAACCAGAGTTTCCAGGCCCCGGGGAACTTTTCCCTCTACCCCAGTGTCTACATTCCTCAAGGTAGGTGACACAAGATGTACTCACAGAGTGCAGACCGCAAAAGTTGTACCTGGCAGGTTACTTTGAACTTGTTAGGACCCTTGGGATAATCTTTACTGTACTGTTATTATGGAAGTATCTGGAAGGTGAGAAAAAGAGGACCTTTTCCTTAATTCAAAGCCTAATGTTAGTCTAGCTACCTTAAGTAGAATCCCAAGTGTATCCTGCACACCAGAAAGTTCATTCCTGGCCAGGCATGGTGGCTCATGTCTATAATCCCAGCACTTTGAGAGGCTGAGATGGATGGATCACTTGAGGTCAGGAGTTCAAGACCAGCATAGCCAACATGGTGAAACCCTGTCTTTACAAAAAATACAAAAATTAGTCAGGTGTGGTGGCACACACCTGTAATCCCAGCTACTCAGGAGGCTGAGGCAGGAGAAATGCTTGAACCCAGAAGGCGGAGGTTGCAGTGAGTCGAGATTGCATCACTGCACTCCAGCCTGGGTAATGGAGCGAGACTCCATTTCAAAAATGAAAAGTAAAAGAAAGTTCCTTCTTTTGATATGTTGTCCAGGTCCCAGATGGAGGGAGGCTTGCCTTGGAGAAATTATACTCTTCAGAATGGAACTTGACAATGATGGAGGCAGTAAGAGGTGACAGGGTCTTCAAGGGGTTCTGAAACAATTCCTTGTCTACCCTGTTTTGCTCTTCTGGGGGACTTCTGTTTGCTCCTGAGCACATATGTGAGGCAAAATGGAGGAGGTCTTATAGTGGTCTTTTCCATGCCTGTGAATGGCATATGGTGGGTAGCAAAGCTCACGCATGAAAGGGCAGAAAGAGAGGCACAGGGGACTGCACACTGACCATGGTTTGAGCTTTGGTATCTGACCTCTGTCTTCTGTTTCTGCCCCGTGTTGAGTAGCCACCATGGGCTTCTTCTACATAAGCCTCCACTTCATGTCTCCTGCACCAACTCCAAGACCCGCATGTTGGATCTTGCCAACATCTCTCCAGCCTGGGACACCTTGACTTCCTCTGGTTTGTTCCCTTCCCACTCAATGCCAATAAATTCACAGAGTGCAGACTGCAAAAGCACCACATTGGGAAGCTCAGGTGTATCCAATGTTCTATGATGGCCCTGTTACCAGCAACCTGATTCCTCCTGACTTCAAAGCAGTTTCCACATGTATTAGTCAGGGTTCTCCAGATAAGCAGAACTAATAGGATGTACAGATAGATAGATGGAGAGAGATTTATTATAAGAAATTGGCTCATGTGACCATAAAGACTGACAATCCTAAGAGCTGCAGTTGGCAAGCTGGAGACTCAGGAGGGCCAATGCATAGTTCTAGTCCAAAGGCTGGCAGGCTTGAGGCCCAAGAAGAGCTGATGTTTCAGTCTGAGTCTGAAGGCAGGAAAAAGCCAATGTTCCTGCTCAAATGCAGACAGTCAGGCAGGAGGCGTTCCCTGTTATTCGGGAGCAGGTCAGCTTTTTATTCTATTCAGGCCTTCAGCCGACTGGCTGAGACCCACACACATTAGAGTGGGAAATCTGCTTTACTCAGTCTACTGATCTCAACTTTAATCTCATCCAAAGACATCTTCACAGAAACAGTCAGAATAACGTCTGACCATATAGCTGGGCATCCCATGACCCAATCAAGTTGACACATAAAATTAACCATCACACCACACAACCTAAGCACAAAGCCCGATGGTCTTGTTACATGGATAGAATATCCAGGGACCAGTGATTCTTCTTTACTCTATGTCTGTCATCTTGCAGAGACCAACAGAGGGTTTGTTAGTGCCCAGAATTCACTCAGGCAGCCTGAAGTACCCATGTAAAGGACCTAGTGGCCCAGGGAGTGTGAGAAGCAGCCTCAGCATCCCCATGAGAAGGCCAGTCCAAGTCCTCCCTCCTTGTCGTGGCAGGGAGGTTGGGGTGAGCCTCTCCTTTCTCATCTTTGCTGAAGGTGAGCCACTCAGTCTTCCGAGGTGGCATCTTCTGCACCCATGGGCTTAGCTAGATGTGTGTGGAGGGCCATGGCTGTGCTGGAGTGAATGAAGAAGGATGATAGTTGAGATGATAGTATAGGAGGGACCCAGTGCTGAATATGACAGCACCGGCAAAGTGCTGAAGTTCCCAGGGCAGCATGCTCATGGGAGTGGGTGGGAGGCTCTCAGGTGGGAAGAGGATGCTGTATTATTTAGGTTGGCTTCTATAATGACTGAGGTTTGGTTATTCTTTACAGTGGGAGATAGAAGAGGAACCTGGCTTTCAAAGTGGTCTCTCTGTATTGTGAAACAGGATATACATGGGCGCTTCTAAGAGGGGACACTTGGCTAGCCTGGAGGCTGTCAGAGGGCTGTCAGAGAAGGATACAGGCGAATTAAGCCCTGACAGAAGGATGGGCTGGCAAGGGTCATCCTGTCAGATCTTCAGGCCAGAGGTCCCAGCTAGGAACTGTTTCTCAAATTGTCGCTGAGGATCGCATCAGAGAGAATGCGGGATGACAATGGGATGGAACCTTGTAAGTAAACCTTGTTTAGTTACTGTTTTACCGTAAGCAACTCTGTTTTATGACAGTGTTTTGTCACACTTTAGACAGACCACAGCTTCTCCTTTTCCTCAAACTGAGCTATGAGATGGGAATGAATCTCTCATCTCTCTCTCTTATCCTCCCCTTTGCACCCCCTTCCCATGGCCTTCACACTCACCTGCACCAGGTCTGGCGTGAGGCGCTTGGCCTGCAGCCATTTCTGGAACCTCTCCGTTTTCCGCAGGACACGCTCAATGCTGCAGGTCTTTGGGGCTGAGGCAGATGCACAGATTCTCCTGTCTGAGATCTCGTTTTGATATTTGCTGATCAGCCTAAGGATCTCCACAGGGCGCCAGATTTTGGAATCATCTGAGTAATTTGCAGGATAAGAAAGCAAGAAGTCGGGAGGCAGTCCAAGGTGGGAAGCCAGCCAGCTGTCAGACCTGTCAGAAGAATAGCCCTTTGAGGACTGGCCTGTGAACGGGAGGCTCGCAGAGCCCAGGGACAGGGAGACAGGGGACAAGAGCCCAACCGATCCATTTCTCCTATTTAGACGGAGGTGTTCGAAATTCTTTTTGTAAGACGACTATTTTTGTTTCTTCAAACTTAGGGCAGTGTATATGTCATATCAGAAAAGGTGAGGGAGCTGTGAGTCACACACAGACACGATCCTCTTCATGCAACTGGCACAGAAACACTAGCCGTGGCTCTCTGAACTTTTACTCCCTGTAAAGATAGCAGCTTTACGTACACTGCCATTTTTGATTCCCCTAATATTCAATTTCCACTGTACAGGGTAGAAACTCAGGCTTATAGAGCTTAGGTATCTTGACCAAAGTCAGACAATGCATTGCCAATCAGAGGTGCGGACCCCGGGCTGTCTGTCAGCAAACCTCAGTATCTTTCCCTTTCCCTATACTGGTTCCCCAAACTGCTCACCCTCTGACCAATGGCTAGGTCTTGGAACCACAGAGGTTCTTGAAGAAGCTCTTGGGCCTACACTAAGGAGATCACTGTACCTCCATACCCTACCCCAAGCAGCCCCATTAATTTTGTTTTCAGTCTAAAAATTTAAATCGTCAGCACCAACAAAGTCTCAGGCAAGAGTGACTACTAAATTATCACCAAATTGGAAGCTATCTGGGTTCCAGGAGGTGTGTGATTCTACATGATGGCCTGGTCAGTTCTTAATCCTCCTTAGGGAGAGGCATTTGCCTTTTTTTTTTTTTTTTTTTTTTT